TTATAAGTTCGGTGGTCTCATGGTCTAGTTATGTACTGAAGATGCAGCTGTTGGATGTTGTTGTTTTAGATATAAACCCTTTATTTGGATGAAACAAGTTTTAAAGCTCTTTCTTCAGAGAAAGACTTTCATTCAATTAATCCTTTCTAATTTCAAACGATTTATCTTACTCTGTAACAACTTGTATATCTAAAATGTTTAATACAACTATTTTGAAATGCTTAAATATTAATTTACAGTATTTATATAATGCAATTACGAAGTTACATAAATTATAAAGTATGTGAGAAATTGCATCAATTTCGCAACAGCCGCCACCGTCAATGTCGGGTTTCCTAAAACATTACAGATGCAATAACCTGAACGGTAGCTTGCCTCAACTAGAACTGGTTAATTAACATCAATTTTGGCTACACCATGCGCAAGAGTTGCTTTCCTGGGAGTTGTTGAAAGAAGGCATTTGATGATACATACAACATGTACTGACAACAGCATATCAGACTAATGTCGCAAAATAGACCCTATTACGACTGTATTAAGATACCAAAGTACTTTGTTGTATCGTTTGTCTAGGCAGTTCTGTCTACTACTTACCCAGAACATGGTTGTACATACCATGGTTCATTATCATACCTAACAGGCTACACAAATCATGGTTAAAAATAACTAATTGAAAGCTTTTTTCAAATTAAAACTTCCAGCATTCTTAATAAATACCACCAAACAGTGAAAGGAAGAGAGAGAGAGCTTTAGCTTAGAGTTAAGGTGAATTTTGATCCTTGACTAGTAAAATTATTGGTAACTAGCGGCCGCCCGCGACTTCGTACGCGTGGACCCGTTTTACCCTTAGGGGTGAAGTTTCGAGTTTTTCAGGGTTTACCCGGAAATCATTCAAACTTTTCTCGCTGTAAAAACCATCCTTGGACTTCAACAAACATTTAAAAAAAAGAATTGGTAAAATTGGTCCAGGCGTTGTTGAGTTATGCGCTTACCAACACATTTTGCGATTCATTTTTATATTATAGATTAATTATTGATTAGTGGTAATGCCCAAAGCAATGGCTTTGCAGGATAAAACTGTTTGTTATTTGTCAAACAACTTCTTTAACATTGTGACCTCATTATCCATTAAATATACCTATTATATGTTTTCTTAATTGGATTCGGAACATATCAATGAAAAGTTATTGGCATGTTTATCAGTTTAACTATAATAAACTTCATGTAGGTACTGATTTATGATTAAGAGTAGAACAATAAAATATCTTGATTGAAGGTAGTTAGAGACAAATCCAAATATAGAACAAACTATAGCCATAAAATATCCTAAATCCTATAGAAAACCGGTTTTAAAAGTATAAATTCAAGGCTCATTAAACAATATTAATTAGGTGGGCACATTAAAGTGTCGCAGGACTTGCTGTCATAGATTAAACAAGTAGATAAATTATTATACTAATCTTACTTAAACTGATTTGCTATAAATATTACGTGACGTGAGTTGCGTGTTGTGATCGAAAACTTAATAATGAATTAATTAAATGCCTTATATTTTAAGTAGAGTACATTAGTAAAGCTCCAAAGATACATGGCTGTATGCTTAAACTAATAATACCTTCTATTAGGATAGTCTTCATATAAGCTTTTCGTCTAAGGGTGGATTCGACTAAACAAGAGTAAATATTAATCTCAGAATAAATCGTCAGTTTTGACATATTTCCCATACTGAAACAGTCAATGTGTCAGTTATATCAGGAGTTATTCTGGGATAAAAGTTTGGTCGAATTGGGCCTTAAATTAAGTAAAAATTATAATCATTCAATGTCATCTTACATAGGTTTTCACTAGTGTTTCACTTTGTTAAATTCTAAAAATGTAGGTATGTGAAAAACTGAGCCAATCTAGTTTAAAATACAGTGCCATACTTTTCTTGCGCTTAAAGTCCATCTAGAAAAAAAAACTAAAAACTCATTTATTTCTGTAAGTAGGCTTTAAAAAAGCACTTTTACACGTAGTTACAGGCTTAGTTAATCTAAGATTGTGTGCCATTAATGTATTAGCAATCACACAACATTCCCGGAAACAAAAACTATCAATATCTCGAGAGAAACCATAACAAACCAGGTTTCATGCAATTTAGTGCAATGGAATGCAAAATGCAGCCCACACCGTGGGCGGGGTCCTTACGCAACCGAACCCAGGCTACACAACTAGATTATCACCAATGTACATACAACCTTAGTAATCTAGAGTTATCGTCTATATTTTGCTTCTGAAAAATGCACAGTTTTCTTTTTCATGAAATTTTTTAGGACCTTATTAGATTGCCTATCACATTTTGGCAAAATTTTTTTTGTCAATGTTTCAAATCTTAGATAGCTAGGATTATAATATAAGTTATCTGTGGCTAGGATATATCAAGTTCAAAATTAAATTGTGTAAAGACACAACATCAAACTTTTTACTGGACCTATACGTCAGTAATGAACGTACCTAGGTCTTAAACTTGAACAAACATAAATCACAATTTGTAGATTACATCTTAATGGATCATAACAAATTCTTCATCGTCTAGTTCCCTTCGACCTATCCAGAAGCTCATTCTTTCTGATAATTTATTCGCTAGCTAACAAAATAGAAGCTTGTGAGAATCGTTGTTTAACAACAGTCGGTTAAAACAAAGGACCGTAACATTAAGCTAATTGAACACGAAGACAATATCATAACGTAATCTCTGACAAATTGGGCGTGCAATCTGAGAACAACTTCCATCTTAATCAGGGTTGTTGCGTTTTACAAGCCTTCATTTAACCCTTACTGATATAGAAAAAAAAACATTGGACCTTATCTTATCTTACTCAAGTTCAAAATATGGTGGCATCAATTCAGCCACCATCAGTTTAAGGTTAAGCTCATTTAAATAAATTGGTGAGAATTTATTCAGATTATAATTAACTCTTGCTTGATTGAGACGAGCTTGATTATGAGCTTTAAAATGACTTTGGCTGTAAATCTCATCAAGTTTACCATAAGTGTACTTAAATAATGAATTTAACTTTAAATCTAGGTAAGGGTGGAAACTATAAGTGATCTCACTCGATTATTTCTAATCTAATCTACTACACCTTTAACATATCGAAAAACTGTTTACTGATCCTGAAAGTGCTTCATGAGGTCTATCAAACGGTGTTATAGAATTAACTGTATCTATCCAAAATTTCAATGTTTCCAGCTAGTTGCTAATCTAAGTAGAGTTGCTTGTTTTCAGCAAAAGTCATCTTTATTGTCAAGAAACAGACAAGGAGCTGATAAGGAGACAACTTGATTTCAATTAAAGATAACAAGTTAGTTGTTACAACAAATTGCAGAGGCTAAGGAAAGGATATGGCGTCACTCTCATGGGATTGCAGTATAGTGCATAGAACCGTAGGAAGTTTCAAAGCGTTTCACAAAATATTTTCTGTTACGAACAGTTAGGAACTGGGGCATACTCCCTGCCTATACTTATGTTTCCAGGAGTCTAAATATAGGTTCATTTTAAGCAAGAGTACAAGGACACACTAAATAAGTACATATGTACAGTTTGTCGAGTTTGTACAACCCTACGCAATAACACATTACCACAGACATTACTTACATGATGGTGAAAAAAAAATTAAAGCTTAAGCTCCAGTTAAAAAAGTTCACTGTTTTGGGTAGAGTCAATCAATGTAACGTGTTCGTTTTTTTTTTTTATTCATTTCTATTATATATGTAATATTTATTTGGGTATTGGCCTGAGATGTCGACTACCCTCTACATAGTGTACGTTTTAATAATCATAATACAGGCGAATGAAAATGCGTTGAGTACAATGAAATAATCTACTATATAAAAATAAGTCGGGTTTTCCTCCCTGACGCTATAACTCCAGAACGCACGAACCGATTTCCACGGTTTTGCATTCGCTGGAAAGGTGAGGTTTATAGCCGCGTGATAAAGCTTTTCTGTGACAGAAAAAATTGCACGCGGGCGAAGCCGCGGGCGGAAAGCTAGTTATGTATAAATGTAAAAAAATCAGCAAGACTTTAATAACTGATTAATTTATAATCTCCACACAAGCAAAGCTTATCACACATGGTGTAACATTTTTGTAATAAATAAATACATGTCATTGTTTGCAGTCATTTCTTATAAGTTATAGCTAAAAAAATAAGTCCTCTATGCAACTGAAAAAACAAAAGCCTAAGTAATTATAAATTATTATAATGACACAAAGTTCAAACACAGACTATTGTGTGTCAAATTACTAGATAATGTCCTCAACAATAACCAATCAAGGGACTGTCGGCTGTCGGTATTTTTACACGACATCGATAAGTTTCCCACAAAGGTGTCAGAAAGTGACTGGCTTTTCTTTGTATAGGCAGTGGACTATGTCCTTGATTAGACTAATTAATTTTTATAAATAACCTTTTCTTTGTAAACATAGCTTTGTTTGTAATATTTTTATCAATAAGTAAACTTTATTTGGTTGGTAAAAATCAGAAATATCTTAAAACGTGTGGCGTGGTTTGTGGTACCGCAATTCCTTTTCTTTAATGTGAGGTTGAACTTTGTTAAAAAAAATAACGTAGTGTAGTGTAGGTACTAACTCCAGTTTGTTGATTTATGAAACCTTATGAAAGCTATTGATTAAAATAAACTTAGTATAAAATGCAGACTACAAGACTAAACCTATGACACTATCCTGTAGTTAAGGTAGTTTTTGATCAGACACACTTGATTTTATCCGCCCGCCCACATTTCGTCATTGAATGAAGTGTACCAACTACTGTGGCTGTTGGTTTCTTTTGTTTGAAAGTTTTACTTCATAATTTTAGGTCTATTTTAATAAGTTCACTTAACTTTTTCTAATTAAAATACGTGATTATTATTGTTATTAATAATTAAATTACCTAATTGCCTCATCCCTAAATGTTATTAAAACAAACACGCATCACAAAACTCAAAATACTGACCTTCAAAACAAACATGTCTCCGATTTTCGAACGTAGCTCGAAACGTCAAGTTTTCCCGCGTTTTTCACGAGCAATGGCGTCGGTTCACAACACACGTCTGTGGCGCGGCGAGCTCGGCTTGTATTTATAATGTTGCGTTTCAACAGCCGGCAATATTGTTATTCGGTGCAGCCTTAGCGGTTTTGTAATAGAACACCCCTGGTGTATGAACGGTTCCGATGCGAATCGGATACGGTGGCGGGAAGTCGAGATTTTGAGGTAAGAGTATCGTAAACTTACTAATAACTTTTCATATCTAAAGATTAGTTTTTGTAAAAGTAACTAAAGCTTCTAATTCTAGGTTGTTGCTATTATCATAATTGCGAGATTTATTAATGATAGAGTTAGTAAGTAGGTTATTAATAATTTAGTTAGGCTTACTTACCCAAACTTACATGAAAATATTATAGTCGTCCTTTCAGGAGACGAATTTTTACAGATTCTCTTTTAGATCGTATTTTAAAATGCTTTCGCTTCCTAAAATAAGATATACTTGTGGTTCAACTAGTGAAATGATACAGTATCTAATATGTAATATCACCTTTAAAAGTCCTGTAAGATGATACTGGTTTCCCAGTGCTATTCTGAAAGCCTAAGTTAAAACAAGGATATTTTTACAAAATCAGCGTTTATATTGACTGAAACATAAAAACTTATTTTTAAAAGCCACCAAATATTTACCAACCATTCCAATATGCACTGTCATTGACGGTCCTTATTTAATCGAGTGACGTAATTGCAAATAGCCCCTAAGCTATGAAATAACTGCTACTATATTCGTAAACTTAGGTAACGCATACCTGGCTTAGCGTTTCGTTTCGGCATGTATCATTTACTGTATTAAACACCCCTCCTCTATTTGGTTTTCCAAGAGATACAACATAACAATAATCTATTGATTGAGATTCATTCCAAAAGTACAAATAAGCTCATTCAACGAAAAGCTCTGTTTGAGTAAAATATGCATGAATACTTACCCGGTGAAATGTGGTTATCAAACTTTATTTAAATATCATTATAATAGTCAGCTTTTAGTCATAATTTTGTCTTAATTTTAACGAACCATTTCATTTCATCGAACGTTTCATTGAGTTAACATAGCTTAAATCGAGTTGAATCGAAATAAATATTTTTGATTTGATTTGAAAAACAACTAACCATATGTTAATGTTCGGCTTGATGTGATCATGTCTGAAAGACGAACAGCACGTGCTCTAGTTTCAATACAGTTCCTAATACGTATTTTACAACTCTAGGTGCCTAGACGGTTCCTATATTACTCAAGCGTGACACAAGCTTGTTGTTGAATTTAGATGAAGCGAAGAAAATGTATTGTGTCAACACAACTAGTTAGGTGTTTTCATTAACTATTAGGTCAAGATTACCTTCCACTGGATTAAACATGTCTCAATCGTCTTACTGTCTGTGTAACTTTTGATCACTGAAAATAAAATGATGATTATTTAGGATTAATTTTCCATAAGAACGAGACTCATTCCTAGTTCCTACAGCCGCTTAAAGAAGTTAAGCTTTTTTTGACCAAGCTGAATTGTTGTAAATTAGGTGACCTCAAAGGAAAACTTAATCTACCACAGGAATTCCAATAAAATAATGAAATTGAATGGATGAGATAGAAATATTATGCAGATGTTAAAATTTAGTGCCAGCTTTGCATAGAATTTAAATTGCTTATACAAAAGAAAATATTGTAAACCCAACTTCAAACTGCATGTATACCTATTCTGAAATTATGCAAATAACATACATTGATGAATGAAAGTTATGTGCCGGTGATTTTTAAGGAATCCTACCTAATTTTGTATTTTACATCGTCATCATCATCATTTCAGTCCCGTCCACTGTTAAACATAGGTATTTTACATCACAATCCAGAAATGTCTTGAATCACATATTCTGAAAATAAACTTGATCCCGAGTGCATTTCTTTGTTCATGGGAGATTCATCGGTAAACAAAAGCAAAACGCCTGGCGACAGACGACTGCACCGGCTCGGATTCCATTGAACGATCTAGATGCTTTCAGGGTCAAGAGTAACCAGTCTGTAGTAGGTACGTAGGCTAAGGACCAGGTAGACTAAAATGTGAGACTGCAACTGCTCAAATTACTCAATATAAAAAACAAAATCTCATTAAATAAAATAAATAAATATCCCTGGACATTTTACACTAAACTTTTAGTTAATTAATAAATATTAAAGATTTCTATTCCAAAAGTTTATTCTTAAGATTGAAATAGGTCAGTATAATTTGAAAATGCCTCCAACTATCTAGCCAATGTAGGGACTAGAGATTGTAGGCTCAGGTTAGTTAGAGAGGACTGGGCTTCTGTAGGAGAGTAAATACTTACTTGATGACGAAGACACCGATAAACTAAATTACGATAGGTACATTAAATTATAACAATGATATCAACGTTAGAAACCACCCAATGCACTCCTTTCATACAAGCTCATACTTATTATTATGTAGATAAGAATTAACTACGTTCTAATTATACATAGGCTGGTAAATAGGAACTTATTAATTCATTGATTGAGACACTAACCAACCACACGTACTTACAGATAAATTACAAATCTGTTATTTTTCTGTGCCGAAAAGCCTGTCTAGTAATTATTTACATAAAAGTGTTTGATAGAGAGCTAAATAGGCCCACAAATTGGTATGTAAAGTTTTCGCATACGGAACTATCAAACTGTAAAGGGACAAGCAAGGTTAGCCAAACAATTATTACTTAGTCACACACGTTTTCTTAAATTGTACGGGTATTGTCTTACAATTAAATTGTGTCATTGGTGATCTTATCAGCTTCCGAAAGGAAGTTGTAGGAATTGGACATTTTGAAGTAAAACCAGGTAGAATTTCATTAAAGTTAAGTTACCTAGATTGATAGATTTTGCGCTACATGCTATAAATTATCCGGAAAGCTTTCCGAGAGATGTTTTGCAGTTTGTTTGTGATAAACCAAATGACGTAGAGACTAGTTCATGATCCATGTTAACATAAGCCTACTTATGATGCTTTAGGTAGGTACTTCCTGCAAGTTGTACCCGGCAGAATTCGTCTTTGCTCCGGGCAAGGTGAGCTTTACGTTAATAAGCCGGCCAGTCCGCAGTCTTGAGCAGCTTGTGTAATCGCACATGAGTAAAGTAGATAACAAATTAACGTACGTTTTACGAGATTTAGAGACGATTTACATCATTTTAAAGTGACCTGGTTACTAAAACTTATATTAATAGCTTTAAGAACGTCTACTAACTACGTCCTATTGAGAAGTAAGTAGGTGCCTCCAATACCTGGCCGTCAAGGAAAAGTAACTCCTTATCTATTTAATTATGGGTAAACTAGTTATTTTAAATGTTCCAACGAGCTTGCCAGTTCACCGTAATTAAGTAAGACCTTATTAATATTGAAACCAGATAACCGGAAAATTTTGGATTGGTTTATAACAATTCTATACCAATGGGAAAGTAGAGTCAATATTTATACCAATTTTCCACATAATTAATTGTAATAAAAAATTTTTTTTAACTCTACTTACCATCCCCTAGCTAGCTACATAACATAGCATCAGTACCTCTTTAGCACGAAATACTTTCGTCTTCGAATTGTTTGCGTATTCAAATCGCTATCACAAGATTTAGTTTGAAAACTACAACAGCACCCCTACGGTCATATCGAGAACTACAAAACAATAGCACGAACATTGTGACATGGATAGGAGGACACTTCGTGGAACTCATGAACCTTGGTACTTTTTAGTGGCAGATTAAACTCTTTTTTTCTTTAGTCTTCGATGACTAAGGGCAGGGCTAAACCCCAGTGTAGCAAGGTCAGTGAGAGCGGTTCCGCATGTCGGTGAACGGATGACTCATTCACCTCAAGTAGATAGAGATGGATTCTATGGCTATTGGTTAACAACAGGGTTAAGTAATTAATATGGTTCTATATGAATTGCTGGAATGTCTAGAATGGCAGCGTGCTTTGAATAGCGGTTTCTAATCCTCGTTAGTTACCTGCTTATTGTTTCTGTTTCATACATATCGCGTAGGTATCTCCTAAACTATACCAATCTACTTATTATGATAATCAACAACTGTTTTAGGTATATCTTATTAAATAAAGCTAAATACTAAAACAAGGAAAATTAATGACTTTACTTATACAGGTACAGGTTTTAACAAAGGCCAAGATGCATTGGTGCCAAGCTTTCGTAAAGACACCAAAGGTTTGATACATGTTACTTATTGCCAGCAATAACATAAGGAAAAACAATAATCGATTCTCCTTACGTAATTGTATAATTTTCACCACATTTCGTACAGTCAGTCGCAAGAACTGCTAATCATTTTAGTCTTCTTTCCCTTGACATACGACAAAATTTAGTAACAGCCGTAGTTAGCTGTTTTGTTACTATATCGAAAACAATAAGGCCCAGAACAGACGGTGAAACGCAACTGCAAGTTACTTTTGAGTTGTATCTAAGTTTCTGCCATAGCGTCCGTTGAGAGACCACACATGACGCAACCATTTTGAAACTTTCAGTTTCAGTTTCCTTCGTCAGAATCATCACAAAGTTGCAGTTTCGTAGCAGTTGCGTTTCACCGTCTGTTCTGGGCCTAACCAAAAAGATTCAATTTTGTTCATATGTCATTAAAATAAGTGCGAAATGAACGAAGTACTTCAGTAGTCGACTGTACTGCGCACGCGCCGGCCATGAAGCCTCCATTTGTATTCGCGCGGGAGGCGACCAATTGTTACGTTATCCTTTGAGTTACGAGACTCACGAGGACACTTCGTTATGACGAATTAAAAGTAGCCCATTTCTTTCTTACTAGACTAGACCGGTAAATTCCAGTCTGAATTCTAATAGAGGTACCTACGTATAAGTATGAGCAAATATTTTAAAAGTATTATAAACTTAATTGCCTCTTGCTGGATGATATTTTTATTGAGGCGTTGAAACTAACCTAATTTATGTGCAGTGCAATTCCTGTGTAAAAAAATTATGTAAGTTTAGGTTCCTGAAAGTTTCATATTTAAGT